GAGCAGCTTGAGGAACTCCAGGACTTTCATCAGCACACTGGTGTTGGTGTCAAAGAACCGCAAAGTGAACCACTTCAACACCAGGTCCAGACAGCTAATCACAGCGTCACACTCTGGCTCCATGTGCTGAAAAACATAAAGTTATAAGTCTAGCACAATTTGATATGATTGCAGACTCGCCAATTGCTACAACGTGACTAACCTCGATCATGACTCCAATAGCTTTTACGTGGCGTTGAAAGTCAAAGTGGAAGAGTTCATCTTGGAGCCACTTGGGCAGACATGTCGACATTTGAGTCTTCAGCTGCTCCACATACTCGTCACGAGGAGTAATGAAGTTCCACTTCAAAATCTAGAGAAGAGTTGGGATTTGGTAACTAAACACAGACGAGCCTAACGGTGCATCTCAATATTGCGGACAAATGTTGTTCACGAGGACAGTTCAAAAGCTGCTCACCTTTAACCCCTTCTCTTCCTTGATCCTCTGCTCTTTAGCATTGGGAACGAGGATAAAGATGGGACCGGATCTGTCCTCTTCATCCTTAGCCCCAGCTTTAACTGGAAGTTTCTTACCCACAACACCCTAAAGTAACAGGAAAACTGTTATTACACTGAAGTTTTAAGTTCTGGTACTTCATTTGGACAAGCTTTCAAGTAGGGGTGTTCATAATGCCGTTAACCGGCAGTATTTTCTGCATGGTTAAATACACTACACATACAATTTGAGAGGGGGAAAAAAAAAAACCACCAAGTTGGCCAATGGTGATTATATTGCCAAGGTGTGCATAGAGGGGGTTGGGAAGGTTGTGAATCAGTTTACATTACATGCAGTGCTTCCCCACCAAAACGTTCCACCTCACACCAGCTCCACTGGTGCTCTACAGGAGATACTAATACCTTCTCACTGCTAGTTGTCCTGTTTTGTTTAGCATTATCTTTCTCTCCTTTCACCTTGAGCTCCATGCTCTCTCTCTAGTGCACAAAATGACACTTTAGAGAGCAACACATTTAAAATACTAAAATACAAAACCCAATTCATCTTAACACTTTGAATTTAGGTTTATGCCCATTTTTCTTTTTTTAACTGTGTAAAATAAATAAAACTATCATTGTCTTCCCATGAACAGTCCTTTGTGTAATATGGACCTGGTGTTTCAGGTCACAGATTGAACAAGTTTTTAAATTGTTCATGAGCAGCAACTCCCTACAAAAGCAGACAAAACAGAAAGACTGAAATGTGCCACACCTTTTTAGCTGCAGGACCCGCTGGTTTAGATTTCTTAGTGTCTGGTTTGGGTTCTGGTTCACTGAAGTCTTCAATGGGACTTTGGTTCCTGGCTGGAGCTGTAAAATAAAAGACATTCAAGCTGAGTCCTGCATCTTTAATAGGTCTCAAATCTAAGTTTCTAACTTACATGTTCAGAATACCTGATTTTTACTAATCACAAATTTGATTCAAAAGCAGGACTGGCAAAATCTGGCCCTTGAGATCCAACGTCCTTTCTCCACGAAAGTGGATCTTAAGGGCCAGTTGCCTACCTTTGTTTAAAATAGCTCAAGCCAGCCAGGCAGAGGTGGTCATGTTAGCTGTGGTCAAAGGGAAAATGAGTGAACCTGAAGCTTGTTTGGCAGCAGGAGCACTGGAGGCGGGTTTGGAAGGTGCAGCTTTGCCAGGAGCTACAGGCTTGGCTGGCATCAAGGCCCTGGCCTTCTCAAGCATGCCAACCACCTGGTCCTTTGAAGCCGGCTGTAGAAAGACGAGAGGGCAAGAGTGACGTTACACAACTGCTTGATCCTGGTCTTCTTAACCATTTACTTAACCATTCATAAGTTTAGAGTCACTAAGATCTTGTTGAATAGAATTTTTAAATAAAAGGACACATTAAATTGATCAAAAGTGACAGTAAAAATAACGTTACAAAAGGTTACGTAAAATTCAAGATTCTCTGAACAGAGATGTATTCAAAATTATTTTTTTTTTTGCCAGAACAGGTCACATTATTAGAATGATTTCTGAAGGATCGCATGACACTAAAGACTGGTATAAAGGCTGCGCCCAGCCCCAAGGTTAGGGCATCGCCCACTTGCCTTCAGTTTGCCGGTAGCCTTGACCATCTTCTCGTAGCCCAGGTGCATCATGAAGGTGGGAAGGGCATCCTGAGCTTTCTTGCGCACGTCGCCGCTACGGTCCTCCAGACAGGCGTAGAGGTTAGGCACACACAGCATGAGGTCTGAGGGTACCGTACGCAGGGTGGGCAGCTTCTCAGCCAGCCAGCCCAGCAACTATAGATTTTAAGCAGAATTTTAGCTTGCGATGAATGATCAAATAAAACAGATATAAATAACCTTTTAAAAAAGTTGTGGTTTTTGGACCATGACTCTTAGCTTTAAAGCCTCTAAAATTGTTAGAATCAACAAATACTTCCAGATCTGAAATTAGCCCTATAAAGCCTATTGTACAGTAAAAACTACAGAACTATATGATTTCATATGTCAGGCTTTACAGGGTTAAACGTGAGTGTTGTACCTCCTGTCTGAGGAAGGGGTTTTCCTTCTTGAGCTCCTCTGATAGGTCCTCTCCTTCAAGCCAATCCTTCATTCCAGTCTGCTCCACCCAAGCGTTCAGCGTCGTCATGGCAGCAGCACGGACATTAGCCTGAAAGTCAAATTTCAAGCAAATCAGAAACCTCAAACTAGAGCATTAAATAGTTATCTGAGCCAGACAAGTAGCACAAGCTTGTGTGAGTCCACACCACATGTGTAACAACTAGTGCATACAGCGTTTCATACCTTGCTGTCACCAAGAACGGTAATGACTGGAATTCCCAGGTTCCTCACGTGCTGCTTGAGTGATGGACCTATGGCAGTGGCTATCTGTTGCAGAATATTGAGAGTCTGCTGGACCTACGGACAAATTTTATGACATTACAGCCAAGCCTATACTGGAATACTACAACTGAAATGCCACATGTGAGAAACGCTAAACAAGAGTCAAATAGTTAAGTTCTGATATTAGTTTAAAACAAACTTTACGTTACCAGTAGTTTGTTGGAGTCATTGAGACGGCCCTTCAGTGCCATCGGTAGCTCGCCGATGTTTGGCTGGATGAATTTGGCCTCCGAAATGATGGCAGCCACCTCATCAAGTCCCTCCTTTCTGACCTTCCAGTTCTTGTCACTGATCTTTGACACCATGTCATATGTGATTTTATCACTGCGAATGAGAAAATTCATCTCTTGACCGGATCCTTTTTATTCCTACTAACAATCAAAAGATGCCTGATGGATCCATTATATGAAAAGAAAAGGTTTTTGAAGCACTGCCACACTCACTGACCTGATGTCAGTTCTGGGCAGCAGGTCCATGATGTCCCCGGGTCCACCGTCCACTTCCTCTTCTTCAGCTGCGTCTCCCTCCTCCTCAGCTCCTGCTTTTTTGACACCACGGAATGGGGCGGGAGGAGACTGACCCTGCATCTATGAAGGATAGTATGATAAAGGTGAAGTCAGATTTAACAAGAAACACTAAAATAAATATGAAGGATTTTAAACATTAACAACAGTACTCTATAAAAGTCAGCATGAATGCAAAATCAGTCCCATTTCATTTATTATATGTGGTGTTAAAATAAATGAGAGATGCAGAAATAGCTAAAAAAAATTAAACAAAAAGTAAAGTAAAATCTATTATAGTTCTATTTACATTTATTTTTATACTTTACTCTTTGATTTGCAATGTTCAATGAATCAATACTTTTGGAAAATTAGTAAATACATAAATTGTTTCACAATCTTATTTTCACACTATCTGCTTCGATAAACTCAGTGTTACTGTATGGGGCAAACATGAGCATTACAAAAAATGAAGCAGTAAAAATACACACCCCCCTGATGGTCAAGTCAACTCACTTTCAATTACTGCATTTCAAAAGGCCATATTTACCTTCTCAAACTCAGCATTTATTTGTTGAAGGAGGGCCGGTTTTTCATCTTCAAAAAACATGCGCAGGGGAGCGCCCATGTACAGGTACATGACTCCTAAAAGAGTGATTGCTGATGTCCTCACAGCCTGAATTTAACATGAACACAGCTCATTACATCGGACTAATGGATTTGAAGATCATTATGAACAAAGGACATTATAATATTGTAATATTCCAGGAATTCTTTGTTTATTAATCACTATTAGCAAGTGTATAAACATGTCCTTCCACTTGAAAGGCCCAGCAGAATTATGATTATGTATACTGAAACCATGACTCACAGGATTTGTGGCACCCAGAGCAGTTTTGACATTGTTGATGAACGCCTTGACATTTATTCTGGATTACAAGGAATAAGATTCAGATTTAGAAATGAGGAAAAGATTAACTGCATGAAGAAACAAAACTAAATAAACCCCCAGATATATAGCACATACCCTGCAAATCCAAACTCCTTCATGGCATTGGCCAACCAGTTCAACGTCTCTGCCTGGTTTTTAGGATTCTTCTGAGCGAAAGCCAGAGAGACAACCTGGAAGTTGAGAAACAAAAAGCAATTATTATTAAAAAAATAATAATATATAAAATGTCACAGTATTAATAATGACAATTTTAAATAATTTTTATTATTTATTATTATAAATAAATACCTGACTATGATTAATAATAAATTAAAATATATTTAATGACATCTATAATTGATAATATAACTAAACTTTCATAAAATAAACAACAACTAACATATACTGTAGTTCTGTCTGATAACAAGTATAAATTAAATTGGTTTCATTTTATTTTTATTATATAACAATAAAGGTAATTATTTTTATAAATGCCATAATTTAATAACCAAATAAACAATTATTAGATATTCTACATCACAAACACCAACCTGTTCAGCAATCCACGGCAGAGAACAGGCCTCCCCAATCGCAGTGAGAGCCTCTTTAGCGTTACTTCCACACTTCACGTCACCAACCTTATCAACCAGGCCATCCAGAACCACCAGTGCAGATGTTTGGAGAACAATCCCTTTTGTGCAATTAGACCCACAATGTGGAGCTTCATTTGCATCACCTAGTGAAGTAAAACATACTGAAAGCTAGCACCTGATCGAATGCCAAACCCTGAGAACTAAGAGCATTACATGTTAAAGAGGACTACCTGAAAGTTGGTCTCTTTCCATCCAGGTTTCTTAGCCAGCATCCTGACTAAAGCCTGGCATGGCATTTCAGATTTGTCCATCTGCTCCACAGCCTGAGCAGAATGCAATCAAGCTAAGTTTAGAGCATGTTCCTCAAGTTGAAATCATTACAATAGCCAAAAATGGCAAAAAAAGTGGACACAAAATCCACAAGTCACCCTCTGAAACTCCTCCATGCTAGCAAGTCTCTCCTTCCAGTTGCCGCTGTCCAGCAGCTGCATACAGGAGGCTGGGAGCACAGCAGCCGCCTTCTCCTCACAGACTTCCAGCTGACGAACACACAAAATTCAATTACTTGACTATTCTGCAAAACAACTATTTTTTGGTCAAGTCATCATATCAATGAAAATATTTAATGTGTCGATGCAAAACATACAGATAACTCCGTCTCGACAAATTCCTTAGCATCTGGAACTTTCTTGGACTTTGCACTTGGGGCAGAGGCAGGTTTGCCCTTTTGGGAGGTCCTGCAGCCTGTTCGTGTCGTGAAGAACATGACAAAAAAATAAAAAAAAATAATATATATATATTTTTAAAATCTTCTCTCATTTAAAAAGAAGAAAAAAAGATAATAAAATATAAACTCATACCTTAGCTGGAGGAGCTTTCTTAGAAGGCCCGGATGGTTTGGCAGGTGCTTCAACAGGAGGAGCTTTTGCAGCCGGTTTTCTC